ATATATATATATATATACCATTTAGAAGTTTAAGGTCAGTAAGTTTTTTGTTATGAAAAACATTATTCATTTTATTCAGCAAGAATTAACTAAATTGATCATATTTCAAATTGTAATAGTATTTCACAATAGTGCTGTTTTACTTTTGATCAGATAAATTCAGCCTTGGTGAGAATAAGAATACTACTTTCAAAAAGATGTTTTTTTTTTTAAATCCTACCAATCCTAACATTTTGTGTAAATATATGGGATTTAATATGGTGTAGGGATGTCAAAAGTGGAATATCCATGCCATTTTTTAAATCCAAAAACATTTTGCAAAGGGTATGCAAACTTTTAGATAAAACTGTACTCCCAAAATTAACATAACCATTGTATTGTGTGCTAAATGTCCTAGATGTCTGTCTTTAACTCATGCTTTAACCTTTGGCTTTATTAATGCTGCCAGCTATTAGGAGATATGCGGGGCAAGGTTAGTCTGTCTGGCTTTCTGCATTAAGCTGACGTTAAACTTAAACAATCTTTCTTTCTTCAAGTTGTCTTAATGTTTACTTTATACCTAAAATGCTAATTTGAATCTCATTTGATGTTTTTCTAAGCAGAAGAAACCAGCTAGGCGGCGGTATGACACCTATGGGATGTACTCAGATGATGATGCAAATAGCGATGCCTCTAGTGCGTGTTCAGAGCGTTCGTACAGCTCCCGGAATGGCAGTATTCCAACATATATGCGGCAGACTGAAGATGTGGCTGAAGTGCTCAATCGCTGTGCCTCTGCCAACTGGTCTGAGAGAAAAGAGGGGCTGATGGGATTGCAGGCATTGCTGAAAAACCAACGAACTCTCAGGTAACCCATTAAGGCACACAATAAAGTGTAATTATAGTTTTTCACATTCCAGCTTTACTAAATTGGCAGATTCATGTTCAATGCAAGTGTTTAGTTTATTCTTTCTATCTGTTTCAGCCGTGTTGAGCTGAAGAGGTTGTGCGAAATTTTTACCAGGATGTTTGCAGACCCACACAGCAAGGTACCCTCGCATGTCGCTTTCAAACACGCTCCAGAACACACTTACACCACACACACACTTCTGCAGTCATAAACCAGCATGAACTCTTGCATCACACAACACCACTTGACTGTATCGGATTCTGCCTCACCCACAGCCCGTATTCTTGCCACAAACACACAGATCCACATTCTCAGGCATGTGCAGTGCACTCTAACTCTGGGGATGAGGACCGTGGCTAATCGCATGGTTTGGTCTGACTGGATTTCTGATTTCAGACAGTTCGCTCATCTTTTTTCAACCGCTGCAACGCCCGCCCAAACTTCCTCCGTAGCTTTCCTCCCTGTCTTGCTTGCACTCAAGCATACACATACTGGGACTGTCACAATTCCCGAAAAATTGAAGAACATCTTAAAATCTAAATTTCATACCAATCTTTGGCCATTAGGAAGAACATGATAAAATAAGAATGCTCAAATTTCAATATAGCCTTGTAGGATTTCAGTATAAGCGTTGATGTTTTAGGTATCTTTTCTATATAAATTTAAATAATTCTTAAAATGAAAATTAATATAATAAAAAAATTTGTGGAACATCACGTTAAACTATTGTGAGCCCAGTCCTACACGCACACAGACTAACCCGCGTTTGAGGTGTCTCTCTTTCTCCACTCATAACGTTTTCCTGGAACCTCCTCCTGCCATTCTCTATCTTGTCGGGTAGGCTGTAGCTCCGCCCCATTTATCTGATTGCTGGGCTCATGGCCCGCCCCTCTTTCTGATTTGCAGCGTGATTCCAGAGGCTTCGGCACGGCAGAATCCGGTATCAGTTCTGCCTCTTTTAAGGTACAGAAGTCATTCTCACACTCCTGTCCTCCAGCACAATCACATTCAACAGCCACTCGAGCTGTTCTTCAGGGGTCTGGAAAAACCTGGATCCTTTTATGTGGATAATTAAAAGTGTGGATATATAATTTACAAAATTTTCATACCATTTTTTCCCCTTTTTTTTATATTGGTCTATAATGGTCTTGTTTTAATGGTGTTCTTTATTTCTCATTTCTACTGTTTGAACTATTTCACGGAATAAATTCCATAAAGGGTTAGTTCATCATAGAATGAAAATTGTGTCACCATTTGCTCACCCTCATGTTGTTCCAAACCCATAAGAAATGTGTTCATCTTTGGAACACAAATGAAGATATTTTTAATGAAATCTGAGAGATTTCTGTCCCTCCATTGAAAGTCTGTTCACCCAAAACTCTGATGCTTCAAAACGTTTGTAAAGAGATCAAAAAAGTAAGAGAGCAATTTAATCCAAGTCTTCTGAAGAGACATGATCACTTTATATTTATATATAAAACCATCGTAACTATTGATAACAATATAATTTTTAAGGGTTTGGAACGATGTGAGGGTGAGTAAATATTGACAGAATTTTCATTTTGAACTTAAATTTAAATTTAATGTATTTATTCATTTTCGTGTCATTTCAAAAATGGTCCTGCAAATGGTCAGTTTTCATGTGTTTTTACGGACATTCACCAGTGTGTTTGTTTCTTTTCATGCCTTACCATGTGGTGGAACTGTAGAGAGTAAGTTTGGTTGACTTTGGGTTTTTTTTTTTGACTGCTTATTTGTCTTTGTGCAATGCCTATATCCAGAAACTGTGAGATGCTGCTCTAATAAATAGCTGGAAAGCATTTATTCAGTTTTTGGCTGTTTGGGACTGAGCACTAACAGGGCTATCTACTTTACTAATGTACTAATCCGTAACAAAATAGGATGATGAAAATGTGACATCTAACAAATGAGAAATATGTTTTTGATCCTGCCATTAATCTGTGGCTTTGCTGTTAACTAATCAAGAATATCTAAAAAGTGTCTATATTGTAAACATTATCAGTAATTAGGTTGTTTGATCTTTCACAATATTAGTTGTAAAGTAACAATTAGCATGCAGTTTTAATTCTACGTGGTATTTGTTTTTAAATCATCTAAAATTCCCAAGTAGGTAAATAACTAGGTAGTGCCGTTATCACCGAAATAAACTGCAGACTGAATCATAGTGTGCCATTTGAAAAACATTGATTCTCTTTCATTCAGACTAAAACAAAAGTTTGAAAATCAGATCACGTAGAGAATTCTCAAATATTGTGTAACAATTGATTTCTGCTTCCTTTCGATGTCCCCATATTTCTGTATTTTATATTACTTCCCTACATCGCTATTAATTATATAGAGACAATCATGATGACCATGTATCATTTGTGCGGTTTCAAATGACTTTATATGAAAAGTGGGGTATCTTTACAAACTGATGCTATTCATTTGGAGATTAAAATCAGAATTAGTATTAAGTTTTTTTAAAGAATTTTATATCTTGCATGTCACAGTTTTAGATGAAGCTGGTTGATGGCATTGGCACTGCTTAGACATTTTCCTACTGGGAGATAAAAACATTGCACCATTAACTCTAACAAATGAACAACAAAGGTCCTCTGACTGAATGAGATGAATGCATGTATCAAAACGGATTATTTTTGTGGTCGTGTTTTGGTTGTTAATTTATTTTTATTGATTTAACTGCTGTTGTATTTTGCTGATGGTGTTTGTACAGGTGTTCAGCATGTTTTTGGAGACGCTGGTGGACTTCATTGCAGTTCATAAGGAGGATCTGCAGGACTGGCTCTTTGTGCTGCTCACACAACTGCTGAAGAAAATGGGAGCGGATCTGCTCGGCTCAGTACAAGCCAAAGTACAGAAAGCCCTGGACGTCACAAGGTATGTTATATGAAAAGCCATTATTTCTGCCATGCTCTGATATCAAGTGTCCACAGATTTTGGTGCTCAAGAATAATTCGTTCATTTCTTGTGTCTTTCTCCAGAGAATCTTTTCCGAATGATCTGCAGTTCACTATCCTAATGAGATTCACAGTTGACCAAACACAGACTCCCAACTTAAAGGTAAGTGCTTTTTTAGTGACTCTTTATCTTCTCACACTGTGTGGATGAGCGACTAAGATTGATAGTGTCGTGCAACATGCTGGTATCAGAGAATGTAAGATTGTGGCTGCCAGGTCTTGCTTAAGTGCTTGTTTAGGAGTTTCTACAGGATGTCATGCGCTGGGTCAGTGTACTCAGGTTGTTGTTATCCCTCCATAAAATCTCATGCAAGCCACAAGGACTTTGCCTTACATAAGAATCTCCAACCTCTACCTCACAGTGTTTCCTGAAACTGAAGAGCCACCATTTTAGATGTTGTTGCATTGTTAATTCATTGTCAAATTTGTGAACAAATCGCTCAATTGGTGAAAAGCACATTTGTGTTTTATTTATAGGGTGCCAATGTATTTTTTGTATTATTTATATAGTAGTATAGTATTTCTTAATATTTCGAATTAGCTTTTATTTTTATATTTTCAGCTTTCAGTTATTTACTCAGTTATTTCAGTTTTCGTTTTAATGCTTTACCTTATTTAATGCTTAAACTAACTTAGTTTCAAGTTAGATAGCAAGGGAACAATATCTTTTTTTACTATTTTTGTATTTATTAATATTTTGTTTTTTATATCTTCAGTTTGCCATTATCATGTATTTTTCCTTAATTTTTTCTTTATGTATTTCTATTTTGTTTTATTGTTTTTTTTAGTTTGAGTAATTTCAGTGCTTCAACTTACAATTAATTATTTCAGTTAGATTCTAAGGCATCTTTTTACAATTTCCTTTAGGTTTTTAAGTTTGTTTTTCATCTATTATTTTATTTTATTTCAGCTTTATTTTAATTCCCTAAAAATGATTTTTAATAGTTTTAGTTCAAAATTACAACACTGTAGGTTGCTGACTTTACAGTGTTAGATGACGGCAAAGGTAGTCTAAATGTAAAATTAACGGTAACATGAACAATTAAATTTACAGTGTTGGCCAATATTGTAAAAAAATAAATAAATTTTTACAAAAAAATGCATATCTGAGATTTTGCGTTTAATTGCATTTTAATATAAAAACATGTTGAAAAATATTATTTATTTGTGTTGTTGTCTTTGGCTGCAGTAATAAAATCCTGTAGAAAAAACTTTCCTACATCAATCCCATAACCACATGTCAGTGAGAGACAGGGGAAGCAATTCTATAACGCGCAGCTCCCACAACTAAAATCCCTCAGCTGAGCTAGCTCAACTTAAATCCCGCCAAATCCAGTTTCAGTTGTAACAGACAGTAAGAGAAGTTACTCACTGAATCCTCTTCCGCAGAAATTCACAGATAGATCCACAGATTTCCACCCATAATTTACAACTTGTGAACCCTGCCCACTGCATGTATATTTATTTTGAAAATGCTTTAGTGGCAAGTTAGTGTGTGGTATTCAAAACAACTTTTTCCCCTCTAGTCAACCTACACTACTGTTTAAAAGTTTGGGGTCAGTAAGATTTTTGTTAATACTTTTATTTAAGGACACATTAAATTGATCAAAAGTGACAGTAAAGACACATAACAAATATTTTTATTTAAAATAAATGCTGTTTTTTTTTTTACTTTGTATTTATCAAAGAACCTTAATATCACCGTATCCACAAAAATGTTAAGCACCATAACTGTTTTCAACATTGATAGTAATAAGAAATGTTTCTTAATCACCAAATCAGCATATTAGAATGATTTCTGAAGGATCATGTGACACTGAAGACTGGAGTAATGACTGCTGAAAATTCAGCTTGACCATCACAGGAATAATTAACTTTTAAAATATATTCAAATAGAAAACAGCTATTTTAAATTGTAATAATATTTTACTGTTTTTACTGTATTTTTGATTAATTAAATTCAGCCTATGTGAGTATAAAGAGACTTAACAAATTACAGAATGGGGGGAGGGTTTTTTTTGGGGGCCTAGTTATTACCTTAATTAGTCAGTCTTGACAGAAGCAGGTTGTTTTATTAAAGGCATGATGTTCAAGAGAGTGGGACATCAGTGAAAGAGAGCAGGACACAACCCGCTGGCAACACTAATACACTTGAGACACAAGCTTTTTGTTTTTGAAATGCTGTGCTGAGCCCAATCACACCCGTCATGCTCACTCCAACTTCCCTCTGCTGTCTTGCTTCATTTCATGGATTTAAGAATAGCTGTGAATGTGTGACTTGGTGTGCTTGTCTGTAACTGATGGACTGCAGAGTTGATGGTGCTTTGATTCTGACTGTGGAGAAGTTTGATTGAAGGAGGGTTTGTGATTGAGGAAAAATGTTTGAAGTAAAACTTTTGGAGTGAATGTTACTGTTGTCTTGAATGACATAATATGCCTTAGTTGAGTTTATTACACAGTTGTAACACAAGGATAATGTTTCAGGTGAAGGTGGCCATTTTGAAGTACATAGAAACACTGACCCTACAAATGGAGCCACAGGATTTTGTCAACTCGAGCGAAACCAGACTGGCAGTGTCGCGTATCATTACGTGGACCTCCGAACCCAAGAGCTCTGATGTCAGAAAGGTACAAGACATTTGTGCTTATTACATGAATGATATTTCAAATGTTTCTGCTTTTTCAGCTTGACAATGTGAGCTCTGTTTATTTGTAGTTTGTTTTAAATTCCTTTGGTGGTGTGGATTAGTTTGAAGGTCTAATTATGTTCTTCGATTGCAGGCAGCGCAGTCAGTGTTGATCTCGCTATTCCAGCTGAACACACCAGAGTTTACAATGCTTCTAGCTGCACTGCCTAAAACCTTTCAAGATGGAGCCACCAAATTGTTGCAGAACCACCTACGTAACACTGGCAACACAGCCCAGGTGAAAAACACATTACTAATGTAGTGACACACATCCACCAAGAATTTTACATGGATTGCTCATAAACATGCTAAAATAATGTGAAATGTGCTAGAAGTGTCATTGTCCTGTAAAAAATATTTTTAAATGAATGCAAAGTCATTAAGCTATTAGTATTAGTCAAATTATTATTAAATACTTAATGAATTATATAAATGATTAAAATAAATATTAAATATTAAATAGTTGATTTCATTTTTATAATTTAAATAATACAATAATATTTAGAATAATAATATTTTTTTATTATTTGCATTTTCATTCATCCCATCAGCCAATTGTTGTTGTTGTTTTTTGCATTGGACTTGTCAGACAAATCACATTAAAAAATCTGATCAAATTTTCATGCTAAAGATTGTTTTGCGTAAATTAGGGGTGGCACGATACCATTTTTTCAGAACCGATCCGATACCAAAAGTTCTGAGTATCGGACAATACCGATACCGATCCGATACCAGCAAAGTTTTTTTTTTTTTCCGTGCTTAGAATGATGCGCTTGAAGCAACACGGAGTCACAGCGCGCAGCATAGAGAAGTTCAAAGCACAAAAGGAAGAGATTCTAATGCGTAGTGTATTAAATCTGTGCATTAGTTTATTGAGCCTTTTCTTTTAACAGTTTTAAATTTTAGTTACTGTGCGTGTGAAGAACAACTCATAGTGCTCTGTACTCCAGTGTAGTGATCTCTAACAGACACCCGGTAGAAAGTAACATGATTTAGAATTAGCTATAAACTCCAGCAAGATAAAGTCCTTTTATGCAAAACCACTGATGTTTATCTACAGATCAAGTATAATAATAGGAACATTGTTTCATCCTAGAGAGAGTTTCGTCGTCTTGACTGTCGTAACCGAACGCGACGCGCAGTTTGAATGCTGAATGGAGGATGACTGACAGCCGCAG